AAACGCGGTCAACAATACTCAGAGAGATCACCATCACCGTTCGCGAAGAACGACGGATAACCAATCCTCCGGCCTCAGTTCTGCACATCACTGGCCGTTTCACTCTAAACGTAAGACATGAGATCTTTGCCTCACTCTATTTCAGTTTGATTTCAGGATATGGAAGCGAAGGAGGAAGAAAGACGAGAGAGGAAGATGAAGAACAACGGCGCCGCGAGGATAAGTCTGGGTTTGGAAACCCTAAAGGACACTTCCCCTCATGACTAACAAATGGGGTGGGTCCGGGTGTGATGACCGGCCCAAACCCCCTCCCTTTTTTATTTATTTTATTTTTTATGCGGTTTTGTTTTTATTTTGTTTTATGATTTTTTTTAAAAACCATTTTTAACCTTTTAATATTATAAAATCATGTTTAAAATATAACATTTTAATTTTATAATAAAAAAAAACAACAAGTCCTTTTTTAAAAAATATAAATATTAAGAATAAATTGAAACTTTTTTTATAAAGTTAAAACTTTTGTAAATATAAAAATAAAACCCTTTTTAAAAAAAATTTCTTTTGTAAGCTAACTTTAAATTATTAAATTTTAAATAAAACAATCGTAAAGTCTCAGTTTACATCTTCTCGTAATTCATTGCTGCCTAACTCTGCCTACTAACGGGTGTTCATTTTTTGCAGTTCATACTTATTGTGTTGAGTTTTTATTCAAGTTTCGTTTATATTTGTATCTGCTTCTCATATGTAATCTCGCGAACCTAATAATCGCGTTTACTTTTCGCATTTAAATTTCTGCTGATGTATGATTTAAATTTCTGCTGATGTATTGCAATATTTCTGTCACATTACACACTCCGAAGGAATTAGGTCTAGCATTTGACCGCCGTGTCAATAGTCCTCAACTTCAACCCTTACAACCTCACAAACCCTAATTTTCACAAATGCCTCGCCGCAGGCAAGATTACAATTTTACCCCTAGCATTAGGTCAAAGAGCCGTCGCGCTCATTTTAGGGTTTCCCGCCGTGGAATCCCTAACCTAATTTAACCCTAATTACAACTTAACAATTCAACGTAGAGATTTGGAGTTTCTACACTCCATGTAAGCGTGTCCCTAAGATACGTTTATTCCCCATTGAAATCTTGGCCACAGTCAAGAAGTCTCTAACCTCCCTTTTAAGGGGAACTACGATTACTCTGATTCCACTCCCGTAAGGATACGTAGGCACAAGATGCGATGTCTTGCCGAGTAAACTTAGAATTAACCCCTTAGGTCTTCTTTCTCACTTTTAATTCTTTGTATATATACCTTAAGCAAATAAATAAAGCAAATAGTAAACATTTGAACAAAAGGTTCCTGTAGAGTACTACAGAAGTTTAGGGTGCTAATACCTTCCCTAATCTTAACCAACCCCCGAACCCTAGATCTTTCCCCGCATTGTGTTTACGATGCAAAAATAGGTTTTCCCTCTTTTGACCTTTTCCTTCGGATAAATCAAAGAGCGGTTGTGAATTGAATTGCGATTCAAACTCATTAATAGTTTGTGATCCTATTTCCACCGCAACAATGGCGAAACAAGACGAATCCACATCTGAGATAACAAATCTTCTGAGGATTTTGGCTTCTCGTCCTTCTTAGTTTCTTTGTTGTTTGTGCACTTATGTGTTATCTGTCTGTTTGTTTCTGATCTGGATGTTATGTTTTTCTGACTGAATTTATCTTATGATCTATTGTTTTTCCTCTGTTATTTTTTTTCCGTCTTAAAGTTTTTCTTAAAGATTTTCTTTTTGATATGACAAAAAGGGGGAGAAAATGATAATTTTGATAATTCACATAAACAGTTACCAAAGGCAACTCATACATGATAAATTTCATCTAAACATATTTTTGAGTGTTTCAGAGCTAATAATTCTCATCTGACAAAATTCTAAGAATTAACTCTGAACCAAAGTCTGAGAATCTACAAGTTTCCTCTGATGCTGAAGAGAATACAGAAGCTGAAAGGGAAGTATTTAATCTTTTCAGAAGTATTCATTTCAGGGGGAGATTAATTTTCTCAGGGGGAGATATTTCTTTTCTATTTAAACAAAATTTCCCATAGTTTTTGTCATCATCAAAAATGGGAAGATTGTTAGAACACAGATTGGTGTTTAATATATCTCATAGTTTTGATGATAACATTAATGAAATTTTGTATAGAGAATGTATATACTCTAATTTTGTTCAAGTGTTTATTTGTTTTAGATATCAAAATTAATATTATTCTAGAAGTAAGAACACCTCTGAACTCTAAAGAACAAGAAAGCTCTGAACGTCAGAAGCAACACATCAGAAGACTCTGACCTGCTACAATGACTCTGAGCGAAGCTGAGAAGAACTTGAGTAAAGAACATACGTAAAGCTTCAGAAGACTCTGGAAGTACTTAACGCTGCAAGTACAAAAGCTCTGATAAGCAAGTATGCTCTGATAAAAAATTTCACGCTCAAAGCACTTTGCTGCAAACTCTGATAGAGAAACTCTGATTGAGTTAACTCTGATCTGAAGAACTAGGAACATCATCAGAAGTTCTGATGCAAGACGTTCCAAAGTTGTTGAAGAAGATGTTGTTCAAATGAAGATTCGTTGGCATATTCCTTATCCTTATCCTAAACGGCTCTTTCCTCATTCGTGCATGACACAGAAATTCAGACAAAAAGGATTTGTCAGAACATTCCTCTTCTGAGAAAGGAAAAGTCAATAGAATACAAAAAGAATAGAATGCAAAGATTGCACAGTCCTTGAGAAATGGATTTCACGGTACTATAAAAGTAAGTCTCAGCATCACTTCAATGGTTAACGAATTTGAAACAAACTACCAACGAACTTCAAACGAATTATTCAACAAGCTACTCATACAAACTTTCTTCAAAAGCTGAATAGTTTTATTTCGTTCTAAAACTTATGTAAAAATCACTGTTGTGATATAGCTTTTTAGAAGCAAATCTTAAACACATTGTTAGTTTATCTTTTGTAAAAGATTCCTTAAGAGACCAAGTGTGGTCAGATTTCTTGAGAAGACTAAGACAGTTGTCTTAGTGGTTAACACTGTAATCAGTTTGATTTAGTGGATTAAGTCCTTGTTGAGAAACGCAAATCACCTTGGTAGGGTGGACTGTATTAGTTTGAGTTCAAACGAATCAGGATAAAAATACTGTGTTATTTTTCTATCATCTGAATTGTTTTAAAACCCTTATTCAACCCCCCCTTCTAAGTGGGTTTTCCTACCTTCAATATGAACACGAGAGTCCATGTTCGACATACGCAATAGTATATAATATTTATATTATGAGTACTAGTATCAATTGTAGTTTATTTTGACTTTATTATGTATTCTAGATTTATTAATTTATATATGAAATTTTCATATTATTTGATATGTGTATAGTTTAATTTATATAAAATTTAATATGATAGTATAGTTATAATACATTGTCAATTACGTCATTATATCTTTAAAACAAAGTCAAAATTTACTGTCTAGGTGAATACGAAAATGCATCTTTGTATTCTATCTAGGGTGGATCCTGTTGAGAAAAATAAACATAGAGAAAAAAGAGGAACACAATCACAACACAAGAACATAACATGGAAACTCTAAAACCGGAGAAAAAATCACGATCATCTTCAAAAGGCAACCAGAGAATAACATATGTGAAATTTGTTACAACACATAATATACCCCCAATAAACCCAGACCCCCAGTACACCCACACTCTCTAAAATAAATATTTAACTACATTTCACAACACTCTAATACAAGAGTATAAGAGAACAAGGAAAGTCAAATACAAGCTTAAAGTGCTTTTAACTAGTACATCTTGAAATGAAGAACTTGAATCCTATATTTAGCCTATGACTCTATCTCCTTCACAAAACTAAGTAATATGGGACTTCAAAGAACTTGTATCCTATATATAACCTTTGAATCTCTCTTCATTCAAAAACTAAGTGATGTGTGGCTTCTTCAACATGTATATTTTCAACCAACTCCAATAATCTCCACCTTGATTGAAAATAATATATAAGTTTCCATTGTCTTCACCGACAATCCTACTCCACCATAAAGAGTATCAACATGTATATTTTCAACCAAATCCAACAGATCTGAAAATGCATCTCTTGATCAATTTATTTAATTTTTTTTTAAATGGACTCACTTAAAGCGCATTTTAGTATGAAAAAAATACTTAGAGAAATATACTTCCAAAATTTTAAAGGACATTTTCAGATTTTTTTAAATTGTTTCTCCATGAATTAGTGTGGGAGAAACAATTCCCTAAATTTTTGTTCACTAGAAAACATGTCTTCCTATTTTTACAATGTTAATAATTACAACTAGTATCTCAAGTAAAATCATTTACTTACAAAACGATCAATTGTAAAGGTAGGGCACGTGTCTAAGAAAGGCAAAATTTATACTCTAACCCAAAAGAATCTCTTCATGATGATGCACGATATCTTATTTATATACTTTGCACCACTCTTCTAGATGTGCCGTTTCATTATTATAAAGTACCCAAGAAAAATCAAACACAACTAACATTAAACAAAGAGACAATCAAACAAAGGCAAAACTAAACTAATCTTTGATTGGAAAAATACTCAAGAAATGACAAAAAGAGAGTAGACTTTAATAAGTGCCCTTATCCTTACAGATATTTTCACATTAAATATTGACATATTAAACCTTAACGTTGCTTTCAAATGACATAAACTTTAAATTAAATTAATTGTCATAACTTCCTAATAAACAAACTCTGAAATCATAATTGATCCATTCTCTCCAATCTATAATTTCTTCATTTCCTTTTGAATCAACATTATCAATATATACATCACTTTGTGCTATCATAGCACCGACACCTTTTAGTATACATGATCAAGTTGTCAAAATATTAACTAATTCAAAATTGATAGTGAATTTTTTTCAAGGTTATATGAGTGTGAGAGACTCTTTTAACATGGAAAGATCATCACTTTCTTCTTCTACTAAAAGGTAAATCTCATTTCCATTATACTAATTAATTTTTTGTGACATGAAGCAAAATCGTAGTACTAACTTTTGAAGTATTGAAAATAATTTTGCATGTTATTAGAAGAGGTATAAAGAAAAGAGTAGTTGAAATTCCAATGAAGGATGTGGAAGGGACTAATACTCCACCGTCCGATTCATGGGCTTGGAGAAAGTACGGTCAGAAACCCATCAAAGGCTCACCTTATCCGAGGTATTCTATTCTCATTTTCATCCAAGATAAAACTAGTAAAATATCCGTGCGTCTTTCGTCTGAACAAAGAATAGATAATTCATTCTTAAATATATATAAATATATATATGTATAAGTAAAAAGTTTGTACTAATGATGAAATTTGGAACAGAGGATACTATAGATGTAGCAGTTCAAAGAATTGTCCGGCGAGAAAACAAGTGGAAAGGAACCATATGGACCCCACCGTGCTTCTTGTAACATACACTTCAGATCACAACCACGCCGTGCCGCCACCTAGAAGCTACCGTAATACAAGCAACGCCGCTGCATCGAACAAAGACTCTGAATCAGAGCAGGAGGCTGAACCTGAAACCGAGGAGAGATTTGCGGATCTTGGAGAGGTGTCGTTGATCGCTACCGCGGATGAGTTAGGAGGATGGTTGGGGGAAGCGTCGCCGGGGGTTTTGGAGTGTCCGGTTTTCTCGGAGCAGGAAGTGTCGATGTTGGGGGAAGAGGAGATGTCGCTGTTTGCGGATCTGGGAGAGTTGCCGGAGTGTTCGGCGGTGTTTTGGAGAGGGAGGAGTAGTGCCGGCGATGTGAGTGTGGGTCCACTAGTGGAGGCAAATTGCTCGTTGTGACACGTGTCGTAACTGCTACATTTACAGTAAAATTAGTATTTTCATTTTTATTTTTTTGTTGATTAGTTTTCCGGGTTTGTTGGGTTTAGTTTGGAAGAAACAAAATACAAGTGGATATATGCAGTTGGGAGATTCTGTCTCCACGTGCTTGTAATTATTATCAACCACAATCCAAATAACTTCATAGTTTGGCCTTTCATTCAATAATTGGTGGCATCCTGCATAAAAAAAAAATTTTAAACCCGCGTTTTATAATATGGTTGTTTAATAAAGTATTTTTGAGTTTTGCGGATGTAAATACTAACAAAATTTTATGCAATATTTTTGTGCATAATCCGCATGCAACATACATGACAATTTTGGAGACATTTTGCAGAAGAACACATTAAAGAAAATATAGAAATCCATGAAAGGAAATATGAAGAAAATTCAAGGGTGAAGAGGTCAATTCTTTAGGCTTTAAGGAATGATTGAGACCTTGGAAATGAAATCAAGTGAAATGATCATTGATTATTTCTCTACGGTCATGACGTTGGCCATTAAGATGCAAATTCATGAAGAACAGATGGATGATGTGTTGATTGTGGAAAAGATTCTCAAGTCTTTGATTGAGAAATTTAACAACATTTTTTTGTTGTATTATTGGAGAATCTAAGTACATTGAAGAACTGTCAACTGATGAGTTGTAAAGTTTTTTTGGTAGGTCATGAACAAAAACTTCACATAAGTTATGGAGAGAAACAAGCATTGAAGGTTTTAGTTAAAGAAAGAAATAAATGCGAAATGAATTGGGCATTATAGAAATAAATGTAAAATGAATGATTATAGTAGGAGAAGGATGTGAAATGTATGTAAGTTAATGAAGAAATGTTGATTTTGATGGCACGTGAAAATATTCAAATAACAAAAAGTAGAATGCATGGTTCTTAAATTCATACGTGGAAGCAAAGTTTGGTTTTGTGCTCGAGTTTACTATTAAAAGAAAAATTAGTCTTTAATGACCGAATTAAACATCAAAAGAACTTACTACTAAATTTTAGTTGGAATACTGTTAGTTGCTAATATTTAACGATTTTAATTGTTTAAATAACTTAAAATAAAACAAAAGTTGTGTTTCCGATTAAAATCAAACCAAAACTTTTTTCTTTCCAAGGTTTTTCCATATCCATTATACAATTTCATTTTAATTGTTTAATTTACATTATATATATATATATATATATATATATATATATATATATATATATATATATATATATATATATATATATATATATATATATATATATATATATATATATATATATATAACTACTGTTTTATTCCTTTAAATTATTTTAAAATATCAAACTAGTCCCTTAAATTTTTTGTAACGCTTTGATCCCTTTTTAAAAATTTCCGTTACAATAAATTGCAAACTCATATCTCATTTGAACTAATTTTTCGCGCTGATCATGAATATGCAATCAAATTTATCAAACAAGTTACAGTTCATGATAATCATGTAAAAATGGACGAAATACATAATGAAAAATTAACGATCCGATCAAAATACATAATCAAACGCAAAACTAATTACATGTTCATGATCAACGTCAAAAGCTAGTTCATTGTAATTTATTGTAACAGATATTTTTAAAAAAAGGACCAAAGTGTTAAAAAAACTTAAGGGACTAAATTGATATTAATAAAATAAAATTTTCAAATATTATTTAAAAAGATTATTACACTAATTGTCATAAAATTATATGTTATTTAAACTAATAAATTTGTATGAGTTAACTATATATATATATATATATATATATATATATATATATATATATATATATATATATATATATGTTTTATTTGTTAAAACAATTAAAAAAATGTAAAATTTTGACTAAAATAAAAAAAAAAGAAGAAATTTGGGAGGGAAGCAACTTTATAATGAAAAAAACAAAAAAAAAATAGTGACCGAAATTTCGGTCACTGAATTTTTTTATGATTAATTTATATAAAAATGATTATTTGAGACTGAACGTTTTGGTCACAAAATATCAATCGCTAATTCAGTTGCTAATTTTATTTTACAACTTTTGAAAATTTCTAACCTGATGTTTAATTTTGGTGGCTAATTCGGTCACTAGAGTGACCAAAATCTTTCAGTCACTAATTCGATCACTAAAAGCGAATTTTCTAGTAGTGGTTGAAAACATGCATGTTCTCGCGTTTAGATTTGTCCCGCGAAAACCAACAAAAAGAAAAAGGACGGGCGGGGCATAATAGAGAATGCAAATCTTAAATCTTGATTCGTTTCACGAAGAAAAAAATTAGGGTTGTGAGAGGTGGGCTTAAGGGATCTTAAATCCTTAAAGTTTAAAAGTCACAAAAATTCATGTATGGTAAATTCTTGTGTTCGAAAAAAATAGGGCGTAGTAGAACGGACATAATAAAGGGTGTTGAGCTAAAAGTTATGATTGACATGAAAAAAAGAAGGGAAAATGGACATGTTCGACGATACAAACTCTTTTTGCCGCCCTGCTATTGTGAACTTGATGAAAATTTTAAACAATGTGTGAAAATGGGAAACTAATTGGGAGTCTGGGAAGGTGGAAAACACCATATCTCCATCCAAAAATTTAAGGCATTAGATATTATTTGTAGATGTTTTTAGCGAACAATCACGAGCTTAAAATTCTTTGAGATTAACTCGAAAAATCTCGGGATCGGTTTTGTATGAAATTTTTTATTGTGACGTAGTTGCAAGATGTAACTACGAATGTCTGGTTGCAGACAATATAGAAATAGATTTTAAAGACACTAACGCTTAAATTAAAGTAATTTTTTTTTTTGAAATAAACAACATTAAATAAAATACAGCAAATGACAAGAAAGAAAAGGTGTATACTAGAGAATGTATGTGAAAATTTGCGAATCATTATTACAACAGATGAGTTTGCTATGAACACTACCTAGGAATAACTTCCTTCGACAATTTAACTCTACAGAATGTGTGAAAATGGGAAACTAATTGGGAGTCTGGGAAGGTGGAAATACCATATCTCCATCCAAAAATTTAAGGCATTAGATATTATTCGTAGATGTTTTTAGCGAACAATCACGAGCTTAAAATTCTTTGAGATTAACTCGAAAAATCTCGGGATTGTGTTTGTATGAAAAATTTTATTGTGACGTAGTTGCAAGATGTAACTACGAATGTCTGGTTGCAGACAATATAGAAATAGACTTTAAAGACTCTAACGCTTAAATTAAAGTAAATTTTTTTTTTTTTGAAATAAACAACATTAAATGAAATACAACAAATGACAAGAAAGAAAAGCTGTATACTAGAGAATGTATGTGAAAATTTGTGAATCATTATTACAATAGATGAGTCTGCTATGAACACTACCTAGGAATAACTTCCTTCGACAATTTAACTCTACAGAAATTAACACATCACTAGAATACATGCAACTCATATCTCCACCTCTTGCCACGTCATCAAGGCTTTAAAACTACTGAAACCATTATTCCACGTTCTCTAACTGCTTAGACACTAGTAACTACTTGCTCGTCAAAGGAAATCACTGAGGGCACAAAGTCTTTCATCTTCGGTTTCCTTGATCTTTTAAGTATTCAGAGTCTGTCAGAGAGCCCTCCCTCGACGTATTGTCGAGTAGTCACTTAAGTCTATCCCTGAGACTCCTTCAACTATTTTCTCCAAATATCTTCTTGAGATTTTCCCAAACCACGTCTCAAGATGCAAGTCGAGAAGCTACATTCGATGTGTCATCACTGTCGACTCTTGTTCATCATTTGTAACACTTAATACTTCACCAAATATAATATTAACTTGATTTTCCTACTAACTATAAAATATTAGGTCAACGGGTATATAAATCAACTATATTATAAATCCAACATTCTACCAATTTATAAGCAACATGAGACTTAATCACCCACACTTGTACTAAAAAATATTCCCCACAAGTGTGTGTTTACATTGCCTATAATAGGACCAACAACATATGATTAACCTCCTACTCTTGCACCAATCCAAATCATAGATGGCATACCAGTTATAGACCAAGTGACTTTAAACACAAGGAATTGTGAATTTTGAATATAAAAAGTTTTTCAAAAATGTTTAAAAAGTAAAGGTTTTCAAAAGAGTTTTGCGCAAACAAAATATGAGAAACAATATTTAAAAGAAAGAACTAGGAAATAAAGAAAATAAGGGAGAAAGGGAAGTACACACTTGAGTTTGTCCTGATTCGCCCCAAATCATGTGGCCTGCGTCTAGTCTCTAAGGAGTGAACCTTGAGATTTTTCACTAATAATCAAATTTTTAACAAATACTTAGCTTGTAACCTTTGCAACAAGTTTTTATTACCGGTTCATCTTGCAACCTTTAAACTAAGTTTTTATCACATATTCTACTTGCAAACTTTATAACTTACAAGATCAAGAAAAGAAACCTCTATTGGCTTAAAATGAGATCAGAATGACAATAACAGTTACAGACTATATATATATATATATATATATATATATATATATATATATATATATATATATATATATATATATATATATATATATATATATATATATATATAGGCATGATTCCACATTAGTGTCTTTGAGGGCAGCTATCCCAACTTAGTTGTTTATAATATTACAAAATTTTTTAATAATTTTATTTTTTTAGTTAATTAAAATAAAATGTTGCCCCCATAAAAAAATTCAATATTTTTAAAACTTTAATAGTTATATGTTAACAGTGTAATAAAATTTTCCACTATAATCCAATAAAAATATATCATTCTATTATATCATATAAGTAATTTAAAATTTCAATTTGATTTGACGAAATAAATAGTCGCCATTAATTAACAATGTAAAATTAATTTATACTCATTCATTTCTCTCTTTTAAAAAATAATAATTTTAAATTTTTAAAATATAAAAATCCTTAAAAAGTATTTCTTAAATATTAAGTATCTTCGTAA